TTCTGTGACTTCTACAAAGATGGAGAGAGTCGGGCATCTGTTTCTTTGCATTCATAATTCCCAGCACGGTGCCTGGCATATACTTAGTACCATATATTATTTATCCAATGCAGGTTATCTCACAGGGCTAAGTAGTTGTTGCAGCTGTCCCTGCAGGCAATAGACTGGGACATGCATGAGTAATGGGAGCTGGAAGGGACAGAAGGCCCCTGCCCCATCCAGAGGGAGGATCAGGGCCTCAGCACAAGGCATTCCTTGCCATATTGGAATGTGTGCTCAGAGCAGCTGGATCTTCCTGTAATCTCAGAATATTGGAAACATTTTCATGTTGTATGAAATCCAGATTTGTTTTCTGTTGGTAACTAATATTCATTGTTTTAAGATGCAGATAAAGCTGGGGAAAAAATTTTTTAAAAATGCAGCCCTCTCTCTTCCAGTATTTGATCTTTGATTAAAAGCTTGTGGACATTTTTCACCTTCAAGGCTGGTGAGGGGGAAGGGGCAGGGGGTGGAGGGGAGCTGCTGCATAGGTCTGGATAAAAATGTGACTTAGAGGAGCAAAAGGGCCTGCAAGTGTTGAATGTCCATGCCCTCTCTGACATGGAAACCTCAAGCTAAAAAATGCAAACACTGGCACCTTATGGCACTGCTGTTCCCGGGCCCTTGGGGACATTTTGCCTCCTTCCGCTCTTCTTTGCTAGGCTCTCCTTTGAAACTTATGTAGAAATCAATTATCCAAACTGGGGACTGGAATTCCAAGATACCCACTGGTGGCTGAAGCTCACTTTTCCCTAATTCAGCTGCTATTCACAACTTAGCAAAGTTGCAAAAATTTCAGAGGGGACAAGAAAAGAAGAATGCTACAGAAATCTCTTTCTAGAGTTGATTGACTGAGAAGAGGAATCATCTCTATCATAACATGTCTTTTAATTAAACTACGTTGTGTATTAATTTTCTCAATACCAATCTTACTACCCTAAGCAGACTCTAAGCCTCAAGTAGTCATAGAATTTTCATCTCCTCAATTGCCCAGCATACAGGGTAGCTGATAACAGATATTTTTAATATATTGAATGTTTACATGAGATCAAATCAAATGTGACTTAGCTTATGATTTCATTAGACATTTTGAAAATTTTGATAAAGGGGTGTGGTGAAACATTAGGATTACTATGTATCTTTCTTTACATTCTCATTACAATTAGGCCTAAACATTTTAGATGTTTATAAACAATGTTAAAACAAGGACGTTTATTTGATAAGATCTGGTATCCATAAGAATGTAACATTTATGTCGTCTTAAGATAAAAAGTTTGAGAAAATTTTTTTTGACAGCAAGAAAAATTGCTTGAACTCTAGAGATCTAGAAAGGTTTTGAATTCAAGTGAATGATGCTCTTTAAAATACCATTCTAACATGGTTAGAAATTTATTTCCACTAAATGATTATAGAGATGGACAATCAGCTGTGTTTACTGGAATGCTTAGGTGGGCTGGGATGATCATGGCTCAAGATTTGGCTTTCCAGAGCACAGCAGAGCAAAACAAAACAAAACAAAGCAACAAACAAACAAAACATTATCTTTAAGGAAGCCTGACACTGTTTTAATTAACATAACAGCCATTTCCACCACCTTCTCCTTTGTCCCCTCCCACTAAAACACCCGCAAAGCCAGGCACTCACTTTACCAAACTTCCTTCTAACAAGAGGTGGCCATGTGACCCAGTGCTGGCCGATGAGGTCTTAGACGGTTATTTGAGATTTCTGGGAAACCTCTTGCCTCCTTAACAAAAGGAAAAATATGATAGGAACTTTCCCCTCTTCTTTGTGCTGTGAAAAGGCTGTGATGGCTAAAGCTGTGCAGCCATCTTGTGAACATGAGTTTTTAAGCAGGAGAATGGAAAATCAACATTGGAGGGTGGCAGACATGACTTGTACACAGAGCTTATGTTTTTGGTTTAATTGCTAAACCAATGCATCAATCTAGAATCACCTACTCACAGTTTTCTCCACTACCCCTAGTGCCTTGACTGTATGAGCCATTATTTTAGCAATTTAGGTGCTTGACTGTATATATGGTATATATATACTTAGATATATACTTAGGTGCCTTGACTGTATAAGCCATTATTTTAGCAATTTCTGTTACTTGTACATAGAAATGTTAGAATTGTTATAGCACCGAATATTTGGAAAGTTCTTCACTAGACCCCTGAGATGTACATGATAGGGATATGGTACCAGTGACCTACTTTCTGAGTAGACAATGAGACATATATGAGTAAAACAGAAAAGTGATAGAAGAGAACACACAGTGGCCACATCTGTCCAGCTCATGTGTTCAACTGTCTACATAATTTATCCCCAGAGCACTGAATCTGGAAACTTTAATTTCTACTTTAACCATTTAAAATTTCCCCATATGTTAGATGTGGAAACTGATCATTAGGGAGTTAAAGTAACTTTCTCAAGATCACCAAATGAATAAAACACAGAGCTGGATTTATTTTTCTTTCTTTCTTTCTTTTTTTTTTTTTTCATTACAAAGTAAACTTTAATGTCGAAAGTGCAAACTTGGAGAGGGCAGAAAGATCACCCACAAGGCTGTCACTTCACACTTGGAGGTTTGCACAGCCGGGCAGAGGCGCTCCTCACTCCCCAGACAATGGGGGTGCCAGGTAGAGGCGCTCCTCACTTCCCAGACATTTGGGTGGCCAGGCAGAGGCGTGGAGCTGAATTTTTGTTTGTTTGTTTTGTTTGTTTGTTTGTTTGTTTTTTGAGACGGAATCTCACTCTGTCGCCCAGGCTGGAGTGCAGTGGCCGGATCTCAGCTCACTGTAAGCTCCGCCTCCTGGGTTCACACCATTCTCCTGCCTCAGCCTCCCAAGTAGCTGGGACTACAGGCACCCGCCACCTCGCCTGGCTAGTTTTTTGTATTTTTAGTAGAGACGGGGTTTCACCGTGTTAGCCAGGATGGTCTCTATCTCCTGACGTCGTGATCTGCCTGCCTTGGCCTCCCAAAGTGGGAGCTGGACTTCTAAACAGGTTAATTGCTGTCAATTAACCTAATCAATACTTAGTGTCTAAGTTACTTAATCTCTTCAATTTTATTTCTTATTTTCTATGTCAGGAACGAGCCAGAATACAGCATTTATTTTTTCATTCATATTACCATTCTTTTATCCAATCTTCTTTGAAAGTTTACCACATAGTTACTATTTTTTGTTGATCTTACTGGTGAGAACATTGAGGCTCAGAAATTTAATGATTGCCCCAGGGTCACTCAGTCCATAAGTAGCAGGAATTTGAACACTGACTGTTCACCTGTGAAACTGTCCCTGTAAATTTTAGAAAATGAATCGGGGAAGAAGGAGTGGGGAGAAAGGGAACTAAACCCAGCTTGCAGCATGCTCAGCATTCACCATGAGGGAAACCTGCTCTCTGACCTGCTTCCTCACAACTGTTTGGTGCTGATTGCCTCAGAATCACATAGACTCTGTTCCAAGGTTACAGTTCCACTTAACTGCTCTGTAATTAACAACTTGAACCTTAGAAAACATTGCCCACTTGGGATACTGTACTAGTCCATTTTCATGCTGCTGATGACGACATACCTGAAAGTGAGTAATTTATACAGGAAAAAGGGGATTTAATGGACTTACAGTTCCATGTGGCTGGGGAGGCCTCACAATCATGGCCGAAGACAAGGAGGAGCAAGTCACTTCTCCCATGGATGGAAGCAGACAAAGAGAGAACTTGTGCAGGGAAACTTCCCTTTATAAAACCATCAGATCTCATGAGACTTATTCACAATCATGAAAACAGCATGGGAAAGACCTGCTCCCATGATTCAATTACCTCCTATTGGGTCCCTCCCACAACACGTGGGGATTCAAGATGAGATTTTGGTGGGGACACAGCCAAACCATACTTTTCAGTCTGGTATACCAGTGAACCTACTAACTCAGCTGGTCTGAAGGACCCTGCAAGAAATGGACTCAACAAAGAATGCAGTTTCCATGTCCTGATGGTTTATCCCTCTTATCCTGACCAATCAATGACCCCAATCTTCCAGCCCCTTACCCACCATGAGCAGATCCAGCCCAGAACCCCTTGCAGAGATGGAAAAAAAGAGTCTTCTTCCATCTCCTCACTTGGTGCCCTGCAATTATTAAATTCTTTCTCTGCTGCAAACCCTGCTGTCTCAGTGTACTGATAAGTTACTGTGCTGCAGGCATACACACCTGTTGGCCCTTTATTCTAATTATTTGTTCATCCATGTATACCATTATTTGTTCATTCATTCATGTTTTTGTTCTTTCATCCAATGTTCTTTGAGAGTTTACCAGATGGTACTATTTTTCTCGATTTACTGGTGACAAAATTGAGACTCAGAGAGGTCAAATAACTGTCTTAGGGTTACACAGCCCATGAGCAGCAGAGCAGAAATTCAAACTCTCAACTGTTTGCCTGGATAGTCACAGCCTCTCTTTTTTACTGCCTTGCCTCACCTGCAGGTACAGTGGGCATGGCACCCTGCTGTGTTCCTCTCCAGGTCCCAGGAACAGCTCTGCAGTGGGGTTATGCTGGTTGCCTGTTTATTCAAAGGCGAAATGTTTCATGAAGGTGTTGGGCTTACCTGGGGTTACACAGGAAGTCACTATCCAAAGAATGTACATCTTGTGTTAGTCCCAGTGCCCATCAGTCCTTTTCTGATCACGACTCAAACTGGCTTAAGTGAGAAAGGAATTTATTTACTTAATTTGCTGACACTTCCAGGAATACACAAGCTCCAGGTGTAGCTGGAACCAGTAGCTAAAGTATTTTTCTCAAGACCTACTTTCTCTGTCTCTCTGCTCTGCTTTCACTTGTGCTGGCTTTTCTTTCAGGCAGACTCTCTTCAATTGGTAACCCCTGACATACACATGCTCTTGTCCTCGCAGAAGGTAGAAGATGCCCCTTCTCTACTCTTGCCAGCAGTTTCAGTGAAAGTCCTGAACCTGGCTTCCTGCCCAAATAGAGTCTTGCATCCATCTAATATGGTTTGAATAATTGTCCCCTCTAAGTCTCATGTTGAAATGTGACTTCTGCCTTGTGGAAGGCATTTGGGTCATGGGAGCAGGTGTCTCATGAATAGGTTTGTGTCTTCCCCATAGTAATGAGTGGTAATGAGTTCACATGAGAACTGGTTATTTAAGAGTGTGGCACCCCCTCTCTGTCTCTTGCTCCTGCTCTTGCCATCTGATATGCCAGCACCCTCTTTGCCTTGCATCATGATTCTAAGCTTCTGGAAGCCCCACCAGGAGCAGATGCTAGCACCAGGCTTCTCATAGAGCCTGCAGAAATGTGAGCCAAACTAAACCTCTCTTCTTTATAAATAACCTAGTCTCAAGTATTTCTTAATAGCAATGCAAGAACCGACTAACACACCATCCCTGAATCAGTCACCGTGGCCAGAAAATGGAATGTTTTGATTGGTCAGGCCTGGATTATGTGCCCTTCCTGAGTACGTGGTAGAATCTGGAAGGACTGTGAGTGCAGCTATGATAGGAGTAGAATAAAAATGGCTCCAAGTCAGCAAAACAGCAAACATCCTCTGTGTCAATGCAGGTGCACCACACACAGTTCATAAATGAGCATTCTTCAGGAAGAGAGCCATAGGTGAGGGCCCTGTAACCATGCTGGACACACAGCAAATGCTCGGAAGCTGTCTGCTAAATGCAGTGCATTTAAACAAAAGAGGGTTCTGTTAATACTGTATCTGGAAAAACTTTATTTAAAAAGAAGACAATGCCTTGGAAAGCAAACTTTCTAATCATGCTGGACATTTCAAGGATGTATTTGCACTTTAAAAATGTGGTTGAGAAGATATGTTTGCAACCTTGAAACTTACTTTCATAGTATAGTTAAGGAGAAAAGTTGTTCACTAGACACTTGTTGATAAAGGGAAGGTGTATTTTATTCAAGGATATTGCAATAAGGGAGAGAGACTGAACTCAATTCTGAATACAACAAGGACAAGGGAGGATGTTTAGCAAACTAGCTGAAATAAGGAGATCAATGGATGGAAAAATAGGCATCGAGTGGAAAGGGGTGTTTGATAAACTGACCTAGAAAGATTCTTGCTAAGGGCAGACCAAAGATTTAGATGTCAAGGGTAGAAAAAGAAACACTTTATGATAAATAACAGTGATGGGTGGTTCTCAATAAGCTGACTTAGTAGGCTGAAGACATGAAGGTCTTCAAGGTCAAAGCCTAGTCAAGGACAAAGATCAAAGAAATCAAACTAAAGTGTGGTCAAGAAAGCAGTCTTTGTCAGTAAACAACAGAATCCCGGCCTTAGCAGAAAGTCTTTTCCTGGTTCCTCTACCCTCATGATTTTGAGTTTTTAAGGGTTAGTGTATTTTCTTTTCTTATTCTTTTGTATTTTTCTTTTGTAGAGATGGGGGTCTTTCCATGTTGCCCAGCCTCATCTTAAACTCCTGGGCTCAAGTGATCAACCTGCCTCGGCCTCCCAGAGTGCTAGGATTACAGGCATGAGCCACCACACCCAGCCAGGGCAAGTATATTTTCAGCTAGTGCGGGAACAGCATTTCCCTTGTGGTGTAGAAAAGCTTCCTGGCCATAAAGCTGGGAAAACAATTAAAAAAACATTTAAGTGATGATTTAATACAAATAAGAATAATACAAGTTGAGGGCTTGATATTCCCCTATTAAGCATTATTAGTCAGAAATTGCATTGGATATATGTGCAATCTATTTTACTGAAGAAAAATATATGTAGACTATAGACTTGTGAGTGTAATTAAAAGCATCCTTCTGGTGAATTTTAAAGCATCCAATTTACTCAGATTGTAGTTTTCATCTCCCTATACTTGCTAATCAGTCTGTCAAGCATAATAGCCATTTTGGGATGGAAGTATTTAATCCTGTGTGAATGGGCTTATCAGTATGCCTTAGGAAGACAATATATGACTTCCTGGCAAAGAAATGGCTGCAATTAGGCAGTGATTATGAAGTGTACTTGTTATTATGGTTTTAAAAATCATACCAGGCTAATTGTGGTAGAGGAAGTCAGAAGGTACAACCGAAGGTTCAAAATATGATTACATTTGGCGATTGGGAGCATTCTTGACTCTTGACTCAAAGGTCTGGTTCTGAAATCTGAGTCCATCCCTGATGCAAAAAGATCAGCTTTAGCATCTGGCTCAATGGATACAGGGGAAATGTGTAACTAACATGGGACCCAAAGTCTTGGGGAGGGTCATGCCACCGTTAGCTTTACAACCCATTTGTGAGTGTGCTGATGTTGGAAACTTGAATCTCCTCATTATTTGGGGACCTCACTTCTTGTATCCCACATCACTGTAACAGTGAGAGAAATCTAACACAGCTAAATCACAATCTTGTTTCTAACCTCACAAGCTAACTGTCCTTGCTCATTGCCACATGTAGAACAAGCTAATGATGAGAGGAAATTAGTTTATAATTTAAAACAAGGATGATAATAGCCACTTCCAAAAACTCACCCCTGAGGAGATAAAGAGGGCCATACACATAAATAACCATAGTATGTTAAATGTTTATAGGAGCATTGTGACCTGACCAAGGGCAAAGAAAGCTTCACAACCCCCTTAGGCTCCTGCCAATGCTTCGATGTCTGTGGTCACCTGTTACCCTCTGATCTCAAGCCCCTCCTTGATTCCCTTTCCCCAAAATAAAAAGAGGCTTGGAAGTCATGCCTTTTAAGATGGTCCTTCAGGACATTAGTATGCCAGCTTCTCAGTTTGCTGTCTGTCTGAAATAAACTAACTTTTCTAGCCCCAACAATAGAGGCAGGGGACAGAGAAATGCTAAGCAGACAAGAGTGGGTCCCTGGTGAAATCCCACCTTCAAGCAAAAGACAGTTTAAAGCCTGAACACCAAGCTACAAATCAAATCCATACACCGGGTTCAGAACCTGTCTTCCCATTTGACACACTTTCCTTTAATTCCCACCCTTCACCTATTTTACATATACCTACCCTTCCCTAATTGCTTTTACACTGTGCCCACCTTTGAGTGCTACCTTTGTTTTAATCTTTTTTGCATATTCACAAATCAGTCAGCATGTACTCCCTTATCCTGTGCCTATTAAAGCCCCAGACTCAGCCACACTGAGATCACCTGACTTCAGGAAAGAGACGACTCCACCTTCCCCTCCCCTCTCTGCTGAGAGCTGTTTTGTTGCCCAGTAAAATTCTCTGCTCTCATCACCCTTCAATTGTCAGCATGACCTCATTCTTCTTGGACACAGGACAAGAGCCTGGGAGCCATCAAAGGCAGATACCCAGGAAGGATGTAACACTGGCCCTCTTCCCTTGCTGGCACCAGTGGAGGGCAGCCACCCCACATGACAGAAGCAGCAGCAGGGCCAAGCCAGCCCCAGAGCCACGCCAGTCCCAGAGTCATGGGCCAGAGTTGGGCAAGAGGCTGGCTGAGCTGATAACACACTGCTGCCCATTGGACTGTGGATGGTGGAACTAAAAGAATTAATTAGTACACTGTCTGGGGCTTCAGGATCATGGACATCCCTACTTGGGCCCTGCAGCATTCCCCTTGGGGGTGACATGCCTGGTCTGGCTGCAGGCCCCACACAGAGTTTGCTCCTGTGTTAGCCCTCAAAGGGGTTATCAGGCCCTGCACTCACTCGCACACGTGCTCCCTCCTGCCAGGGGCTAAGTGTGGCAGGCAGAGTAGACAGGGTGCCCCCTGCTGTGAGTCCAGCAAAGGGGCCGAGAAGAATTCTGTGTCATCAACACCTTGTCTGTCAACTTACTGACTATTGTACAGCAAGCAGTGTGAGCTTTGGATCCAACAATATGAGTAAAGGCAAATGGATTCAGAGTAGGATTAAGTCACTTCGCTTCTTGTGTTCAGACTTCAGTTTTTTCTCTCCCTAATTATATCTTTATTTTTTCTTTTTGTCTTTTTTTTTTTGTGAGATGGAGTTTCACATTTTTTATTTATTGTTTGTTTGGTTGTGGTTTTTTTTGTTATTTTTGTTGTTGTTGTTGAGAGAGTTTTGCTCTTGTCTCCCAGGCTGGAGTGCAACGGCATGATCTCTGCTCACTGCAACCTCTGCCTCCTGGGTTCAAGTGATTCTCCTGCCTCAGCCTCCCAAGTAGCTGGGATTACAAGCGTGCACCAACATACCTGGCTAATTTTTATATTTTTAGTAGAGACAGGGTTTCACCGTGTTGGCCAGGCTGGTCTCAAACTCCTGACCTCAAGTGATCTGCTCACCTCAGCCTCCCAAAGTTCTGAGATTACAGGTGTGAGCCACATAATCCCAGAATCCTGGCCTCTCTTCTCTCCCTAATTATTAAGAAGCCATAAATAATATTAATTTTGCATGGGAGCAGAATGTCTGGAGCTCCTGATCTCCCTATAAATGTAAAATCTAAGTTATTTTGCCCTGAATTTGGGAACTATCTGTCAGAATTATACTGTGACTCAGAATCACATGACAGATACAATGGACATGATTTTTTGAGTTAGAGTTTAATGGTCTGGGGGAAAATGTCAAAGTCAAAATATTATGGACTCTTTTAGGGCTACTTGAATCTGGAAAACAATCTTCAAAATCTGAATCTTCATTTTTAACCTGAACCTAGAAATCTGAGTTTAGCCTAACCTGGAGAATTATAAGACCTGAAATGTCATTCTGTTCCCAAGAGGAAACAGCAATAATTTTGAGACTCTAGAATGAGGAAGAAAATTGTTTTCATCCACTTTTGATTGGTAGTGGTTTCATGTTGAGAACAGTTTTAACAAATGGGAAATGTGTCAGATTGCTTGGTGATATCAGCCATATATGAGATGCATGTGTTTTGTGTTAATTCCCACCACTTCAGGGCAGTGAGAAAATGCAAATGATGGAATCCCAACCAAGTCAGCCTCTGCTGATTCGCTGATTCTGCGGATTCTCTATTATTATTATTTTTTTTTTTTTTTTTTTTTTTTTTTTGA